GGGCCGGGAACAGATCTGCCACTGGGTGTAGGGGGGAGGGCTATGAGTTGGCCCATTTCTAGGATGAGAACATCAGAGATGCCTAAAGGGAATGATGCTGGGCATGCTGAGTCCCTAATGTTTGGGCTGAATGAGCACCATGAGAGAAGATGCGTGTTTCTGGCTTAGGGTTGAGAAAGATGTGAGCATTGGGCGGGAGGTATAAGAGAAAAAGGCCAGGCACATTGGCTCACTTCTGTAATCGGAGCACTCTGGGAGACTGGGGAGGATGGATTGCTTGAGCTTATGAGTTTGAGATCATCCTGAGCAAGAGTACGATTCCATCTCTAAAAATAACCAGGCATGTGGTGGGCACTCGTAGTTCCAGCTACTTGCGAGCCTGAGGCAAGGGAATCTCTTGAGCCCAAGAGTTTGAGGCTCCTGTGAGCTATGATGCCATAGCACTCTACTCAGGGTGACTAAAAAAAAAAAAAAAAATTAGATCTTGTACTTGCTGTCACTCACCCTCATTCACTGTTCTTTTGGTTCCCAGGTGGAGTATGGTCCCTGTGTGGTAGCTAGTGACTGCTGGAGCCTGCTTCTTGAGTTCCTACAGAGTTTTCTTGGCAGCCACACTCCAGGGGCTCCTGCGGTATTTGGGAACAGACATGATGCCATCTATGGCCCAGCAGATACCATGGTCCAATACATGGAACTCTTCAACAAGATTCGCAAGCAGCAGCAGGTGCCGGTGGCTGGGATTCGTTAGTGACTGGCAGCTGCCAGCTAAGCTCTGTCACCAGGGATACTCCATAGGAGGTTGTTCCTGGACCCCAGAAACTCTGTGTAGAAGTGGAGGATACTTTCTCATTTCCAGTTCCCAGCTGTGGCTTTTGTTCAGGGGCTCTGGACTCTTCTCCCCTGACCCTCACATACAGCCCCACAACAGCTGTTTTACCCATGCCTTACTGGATTTGGCCTGTCTTCAAGAATGGTAATTATGAAGAATGGAGAAGTTTGGACCTTTCCTGCTTTAGGGGAAAAGGTAGGACAGGGGTGTCCCTGCCTAACATTGGCAGGGAAAACCATTTGTATCCCCAGCTATTGAGGGTTTGGCCTAGGCCTGCAATGGATAAGCTATGTTTTGTGTAAAGGGTGTGCTGTAATAAAGGCCTCTTCTTCCACTCAGAGGGTGTGGCTGGCCTCTATCCTGTAGATGGAGTGGGAGACTTGTTTGATTATCATTTTCTGACCTGTTTACTAAAGTGATCTGTGAATTGACTTTCTGTGGGTATTGCCTAAGTCCTTCAAACTCTCCTTCAGACATTTTTCCCTTCTGTTGTGAATTCTGTTAAGTTGTAAGCTAAACTACTATAACAGAGAACCAAAAGTATCTAGTAAGGGGGCTCTTACTAGATAAAAGTTGATTTTCTCTCATCTAATAGTACAGAGGTACTCAGATGGTCTAGAGCAGATTTAACTCTACGAGGTCATTAGAAATTTGGTTTCCTTCTGTCCTGTTAGCCATTCCCAATATTTTGTCCTTACCCACAAGGTCAAAGCAGACTCATCAGCTCCATATCTACATTCCACTGGGGGAGAGGAGAAAGGAGGGAGAGAATGGGAGGGGAGGAAGAGCCAGAAAAAGAGAAAACTTTCATTTTTAAAGGATATGACCTGGAATTGCTTTAAATCACTGGGCATACTTTGCTGATAGAGATGCTGGGACAGAGAGCCTCTTACCTGGGCAGTCATATGCCCAGTTAAAACTCAGGAGGTTCTATGACTAAAGGATTTGGAGAATATGGATGCAAGGTCCCAGTTAGTGGCCTCTGCTACGTGGAGCTCAAAGGACACGCCCAGTACTGCTATTGGCTGTTATATTGCAGTTAATACCCCCTGTAACTAAGGTATGTGTTTGTGAGCCGGCTTGGGATAAGGGCTGGTCCCAGAGTTACTTTGAACTCAGCTGGATTAATCATATTAGGAAATCAATTCCTTACCTAAGTCTCAGCATTGAGGCCTCTTCAGTTCTCATGTACCCAGAGCTTAAAACAGTTTATCTGGTACTTGCCCCCTGCTTCATGGTTTCTTGAGCTCTTTCTTTTTCTCTCATTTGAACCTCCAAACTACTCATCTGACCACACTGCCTGCCTACCCCACTCCTGCTGCAGAAATATTTAGCCAGGCTAACCTCAAAATACACAGAGATGGTCTTAGGGAAATTGGTAACATGTAGTACAGTGTCTTACTTACTCTCCCTTATTGAAGGCATCTAAAGAGACATTTTGAGATCTAAGTGCTCAGATCTAAAGCCTCTGTAACAAGAGTCATTTGTCATGTTTCCTGTCCAGCTTTGGTGGCAGGAAGCTCAGTTCAACTTCATAACTATAGGACCTGTCATCTGTATTTTTCATTCTAACTTCCCTATTTTTGTTGTTGCTTATTTTATTTTTGCTTTTTTATATTATAGTATGTTTTAGATATCATTTATAACAATAAAATGGACAGATCTTATGTTTTGGGCCTTCTGATTTATAATTGCTCTTGTCCAGATTTATCTATTTGTACTTTTCTGTAGGCTGCCTCAAATCTTTTATGGAATGAAACAATATGTAAGAAGGAAATTGAACATAATATGTTCCTGAAAATATACAAACATTGAATATGGTAGATATGGACTCTATAGATCGGGGGCAGGGAACCTCCAGCCTTAAGGCCACATGTAGCCTTCTAGGTCCTTAAGGGAGACCTTTTGACTGAATCCAAATTTATAGAACAAATCCTTTTATTTTTATTAATCCATTTTTGCTCATCTTTGTATTTTTATTTTTTAAATAAAGGTATTTAAAATATCAAAGAATAGGCTTGGCTCTTGTGGCTCAAGCGGCTAAGGCACCAGCAACGTACACCTGAGCAGGGTACACCTGAGCAGGCGGGTTTGAATCCAGCCTGGGCCCGCCAAACAATGATGGCTGCAGCCAAAAATAGCCGGGTGTTGTGGCGGGCACCCAGCTACTTGGGAGGCAGAGGCA